TGACATCAACAATTGCTGTTGTATTATGGGAAGACATTGAACATTGTGACATCAACAATTGCTGTTGTATTATGGAAAGACATTGAACCTTCTGACATCAACAATTGCAGTTGTATTATGGGAAGACATTGAACATTGTGACATCAACAATTGTTGTTGTATTATGGGAAGACATCAATAATATTATATTGGTTGCAATATAATATTGCTGTTGCTGTTGTATTATGGGAAGCAGCTAGTAGGCAAATACAAAATTGCATAATGTCTTTGTAAGACTGATAACTCCTCACTGTCAGCTAAACCTTTATAATTGTTAGTGTATATCTTTCCGAAAGATGTAGATTTTTCCAAAAAATTGTGAAAAAGGTTATCCATTTATTGATTGAGGCACTTGATAATGATTTTTTTTTTTTTTTGAAAAATTGTATGTTAAATAAATTGTTGGATAATTTTCCCAAACTTATTACTTATTTAAATGAAAGCAATGATTAATTCAAGAATTGGTATAAAATCTGTAGGTATCATTGTGTGGATATAAAGAAGGGCTGTGTGATGATCTTCTTTAGCACAGAGTTCAAAGACCTAGATAATGTCAACACTGGAAAGGTGTTTATGCAGGTGAGTCATCGGTTTGTAAAAACAATATGCATTGCCCTCTTCTTTATCACTTTGAAATTAGTTTAGAAGAATTCCTGCTTCCTGGCAATTCCATTGCACAGCCTTTAAATTGTCTTCAGTTATAGAAAAAGATCCAAAGAATGGCTTAACTTCCGAGTTATTACCATAATTTCTAAATGATATACATTATTTCACTTGATGTCTGTCATGCCTACTGAACCTGCTAGGGGATAATTAATTATCATTTAGCAGGTTCAGTAGATGTGTCAGACATCTAATTAAGCCACTTAAAGATGCATACAAAGTCAATTTTTTGTCACAAAAACCAACCAAATGCCAGCATATAGTTTCAAGTAGTATAACTAAGAGAATTACCAAAAGGCATTGTTTAATTTTACCCGAAAATGATGTTTGAACGGATTTTTCTGCTGGCATTCTAAGCTGTAGGTCAATGGGGCAGGAAAGTACCGTGTAGGTCACAAAAGTAGGTTAAATTTACAACCAAAAATTTAAAGAAAGGAGCAGTCTAAAGGTCTTATATGGCTGATCGAGTGATCTATTCAGTTTATCCCTTGGCATGTCGAATTTATATGAGTCATATAAGAATCTAGTAGAGGTGGTTTACATGTGTTACTGGGAATGCACGTTCCACCGATGCTGGGTTCATATGTACCTTTAAGCTAAAAGCAATGAGCGAGAAACCCTTTGGAGATGGATCGATCCTGTTAGATAGATCTAAGTATGGGAACCCAGTCTAAATATTTGCTATGTCTAAAGGTTGATGTACTAATAGATAAAATTTTCACCTATAACATGAATTAATATTATATGAATCAATATTATTGTCGATATGCGGTTCAGAGAAAAAAACGAGAGTTGAAAAACTACACGTTTATTTTCTACAGAGACTGATCAAAAACTACCCACTCAATGAGCAGGGCGTGAATATATACAAAGTAGGCAATAGGAGGCGGAGCTAAAACTAAATCCATGTCCACTACAGACATTGACATACGAGCTTTAAAATACTTTACTACAACTGATAGTGCGCTTCGTTTGCATGGACATGCTTTTTCCATACGTTCCAACATTCTCCGGGGGCAACACGTTGTAAAAGTAAACATGAAAGCATTAAGTGTTTTAAAATAAGCAAGAAATCCAAATATTCCATTAAACGTAAGTCATATCAACAAGTCCTTGCGACGTACTAGTCAGTAAGTACTGATTAATGTAAACATTTATGCAATAGATTGTCATTGAAACAAAAAACGAAGTCCAAAGCAACGCTAATTAGAAATATTCCAATAGTAAGGTTAAATAATCCAATTATACGCTTGATTAAATGTTTCAAACAGTTTCATTTGAAGAGTCTAATAGTTCCATAAGTAATCAAAGTTCATTCTCATTTCAGTTCTTGAATCCATCTAGCGATGTTTTCTTTTGCTTGCTGGGTGGCGCGTCTCGTGTTACGGGCTGGTATGTTGATGTTTTCATCAGTATTTTCTTTGGACAGTGTGACCTCTCTCAGGTCAGGGGCAGAGTCATAATCAACGGAAATTTCGAGAGGATAAAGTTTCGTAATAGGGCGATTTGTTGTTCCATACTTAGTTTTCAATGTTGCTGATCGCACTATTCCGTCATTGCCGTAGCTCAGTTTTGTAATTAGACCCAAATCCCACAAAAATCTAGGTTTAATATCCTCATGAATTAGTACTACGTCTCCAACTTGAACAGTATTTTGTTTAACCCCATTCATATTGTCCCTTTCCCTTAGTGCAGTGAGATATTCGGAGGTCCATCTTTGCGTGAAATGTGCATTGACCTCCTGCACATGTTTCAATCGTTTTGTCAAGCGTTCTTTGGAGATTTTGCCATCTGCGGATCCAATCCTTCATCCTCATCTGTCAGTGGGCAAGGCAGTGTGTTGATTCGACGTCCGTTCAAAAGCATTGATGGTGTAAGAGGTTCACCCTCATTAACGTAGGCGGGGCGGTCATTCAGTGTTGCTTCTATTTCCGATGTTATGGTATGCAATTCGTCTAGCGTGATGCGAGCGCGTCCTAGTGTTTTTCTCATTGCATTCTTCGTGAGACCAATTAATCTTTCCCAAAAGCCACCAAACCACGGTGCTCTTCTAGGAATGAATTCCCACTTCACTCTATTTTGACTTAGATATCGACGTACATCTTCATTTTCGAAAAGTTTCTTGATTCATTGGCGGCTGAATGATAAGTTGTTGCGTTGTCACTAATCATTTTCGTAGGTAGCGATCTCCTGGCAGCGAATCTTCGAAATGCATTTATAAATGAAGATGTAGATAAGTCATTCACAACTTCCAGGTGGACGGCGCGAGTAGCGGAGCAAGTAAATAAACATATGTAGGCTTTCGCTTCACAATTCGTGGACATTTGACGTAGAGTGCCCCTGTAAAATCAACTCCAGTGACTGTAAACGGGGGAGCATCGTGAACTCTGAATATTCGTAGAGGCGGAGCAACCGGAGAAGCATAGGGTCTGCCGATCAAGCGTCTGCATGTGACACATTTACGTAGGACGCGGTTGACAGTTTCACGCGCTCTGGGGATCCAAAATCTCTGCCTGATACTTGTTACAGTTGATTGCATGCCGGAATGTAGCGCTCGTTTGTGCGCGTCATTTATCACTAACAAAGTGAATGGATGTTGCCGTGGTAATAGTATCGGGTGTTTTGCGTCGTAAGTCAAGGGTGCGCTTTGTAAGCGACCTGTAAGTCGTGTAATGCCATTACTGTTTAAAAACAAAGCAAGTTGCTTAACAGTATTTGATTTAGATTTTCCTCCTTTCAATGAGTCAAGTTCTTGATAGAAATCTTTCTCCTGAACGCACCTGATCCATATTTCTTCTGCATTAACGATTTCTTCTGCAGAAGGCGAGGCGTTTGTAATAACGTAAGATGACGTCTTGTGTATTTTTCCCTTCATAACGGCAACAAATCTGAGCACCAATGCCGTAACGTTTAATAGTTTCGGAAGCGTGCCATGTCGGCCTATGTCGACCACCTCTGAAATGTCTGTTTTCGTTGTGAGCGGCTGATTTCCTCGCATTCTTTGGTTGTTGGCTTTGTCGGAAATATCAGTTTCAACGGAATGACCCTGAACTGCGGTCGTAGGGTCAATGACATTTGGATTGTTTTTAAAGAGTTGTTCATTCAACGAATCACTTGGGGTAAGTGGGGCAAACTCTACCCGCTCTGTTCTCAAATGCATCACAGTACTATTGTACTCTCCTATGGGCCAATCTCCCTGTGTGAGCCAGGCGGGTCCTTCCCACCATATAGTTGCGATTTCTAGTGACAATACGGTCGTACCGCGTGTTATGAGATCGGCTGGGTTGTCATCCGTCGGACAATATCTGTATTCGTTGAACAACGACGGTTTGATTTCGTTGACACGATTTCGGACAAACAACGGTAGATGTTTGTCGCTTTTAATCCAGCACAGCACAATTTGGCTGTCTGTCCACAGAACACATTTCGCAATGTGAATGTTCTCTTTCAGTTGGTCATGAACAAAACTTGTGAGGCGGGTTCCTAGAACTGCTGCCATCAGTTCAAGGCGCAGAATAGTGATTGTTTTCACTGGGGCAACGCGCGATTTGGACATGACTAAAGTAGTTTGTTCTCCGTTTCGTAGATATACGGCGCATCCATACGCCTTTTCACTGGCGTCGACAAAACAATGTAATTCCATGGGCTGTTGTGACTCCTTGGTGTTTGAGAAATACTGCCGGGTAACTTTCAGCAATGAACATTGTTCAAGATCAGCAGCAATTTCTTTCCAAGTTTCGCTTAGTTCTGGAGGTAAAGTTTGATCCCAATCGAGTTCCGCTTTCCAGAGTTCTTGCATGAACATTTTACCTCGAACAATAACTGGTGCTAACAGACCTAGCGGGTCGTAAACTCGAGAAATGCGACTAATCACTTCGCGTTTGGTGACTTGGCTGACTGGGATTTCTTCACCGGACTTGAAAGATAACGTATCTTGTTCAGTGTCCCATATCATTCCCAACATCGGTGTATTCTTGTGGTCTGCGTGAGCTACTCCGTCAGTTTCGACTATGTTGCGGAGTTTGGGGTCATTGGTAGCCCACGATTGAAGACTGAATCCTGCAGATGCAAGCAAATCATTTGATTCCTCGTACATTTGAATGGCTTGGTTTGAGGTGTCAGTTCCCGTCACAATATTATCCACGTAGACGTCCCGTTTCAGGGCTTTGGCGGTGCCATTCTCGGACATATCCAAATGCAAGCGTACTACGGAGTTAAGAATGGCTGGACTGGAAATGCTTCCAAAGAGAACTGACGTAAAGCGGTACACTTCAAACTTACTTTCAGTGTCTTCTGGATCTTCAAGCCACAAAAATTTCGTAAAATCTCGGTCATCTTCGTGCAATCCTATGTTTAAGAATGCTTTTTCAATGTCACTAGTGATCGCGACATTGTGAATTCGAAATCTTAAAAAGATTCCAACAAGGTCATTAAGTAGCTGCGGTCCTTTAAATAGACAGTCATTCAGACTGGGGTCATCAGGTGTGGCCTTTGCGCTGCAGTCGTAAACTATTCGAATTGGTGTTGTAATCGAATCCTTTTTTACGGGGCGGTGAGGCAGGTAATGTCCACTGGAAGTATCGTCATCGCCTACTTTCTCAATAAAGTTGCGTTTCTCTTGATTCCTGATGATAGTGTCATACACGCGTCGTGTTTCTACTGGTAACTTGCGCACGGTATTACGTGTTCGATGACATGCGTTGCGATAATTCGTAGGCAAAGGACTGTGGTCGGTTTTCCACGGCAATTTGGCCACATATTGGTCATCACGTTTTTCAATGTAATTTCTCTGGAAATTCTGAAAATCGGAGGGATCCTGGACAGTTTGTTTATTGTCTTTAATGCCAATGGATTCTAGGTTCCAGAATTTGTCCAGGGTATCGTCTTCTGCGTTGCGCTGTTTCGCCATGACATGAAAAGCGGTGTCGTTTGCTGTGACGTAGTCATCGGAGTGGGCGGGGCCCGAGAGTAAGTATCCAAATTTGGAAGCGACAGCGGTGGGCCCTGGACCTCGCATGATTGTATCTTCAACAAAGTCCCAGTAATGATCGGCACCAATTAGCACAGAGACGAAAAAAGGCGATCTGTCATCAGATGGTGTGTGAGCCAGTCTCAAGTTCCTTAAGTGGGACAAATTGGCTGTCCTACGTGTCACTAAATTATGGAGTGGAGCAGAAATTTCAGGAACGACGACTGCGTTAATATCAACAAATTCTTTTGATGTTGTTTTCAGGGAGATTGTGACGATGTCAAAAGTCTGAGGTTGTTTACAGTCCATTCCAAATACAGACAGATTGATCTCCTCAGAATGAGTTGGCTGGAGCTGAAGTTTATGAACAAGCTCTTCTGTGATGAATGATCTGGTCGCTCCTTCGTCGAACAAGACCCCACTAGTTGCCGATAATTGGAAGGGTGTTTGTTTGTTGGAGACCTCCACGATAGCCGTTTTTAACAAGACAACATTCCTTTGATTTTTTGCCCCTTGAGTGAAGGTGCTCGCCGCATGTTCCACGGCAGGCGGTTCCCGCGCTTTCTGAGCGGCGCTTGCTTCACTTTTTTGCTTAGCATGAAGGGCGGTGTGGTGTTTTCCATTGCAACTTCTGCAGTGAAATTTAGAAAGGCATTTTTGGCTTGTATGGTTGGGCGTAAGACAGTTAAAGCATAAATATTCTCTTTTTGCTATTTCAAAGCGTTTTTCCTGTTCCGACACAACTGGGCACGTGATAGAGCTATGTTCATTTTTGCAGAAAGCGCATTTCAATTTTCTTTTCGGCTTGTTCGTCGTTTTCTTCGTGGTACTATTGGTGAAAAACGCAGCAGTGGGTCGGTACGATTTCTCTTGGTTGAACCCGTCTATTTCTCCAGCTTGAAGGGCGTGGATCTCAGACTTAAGTGTACTGTGCAGATCGGCGATTGACCATTCATTGTTTCCATGCGCTCTGGCGATTTGTCTGCGCGTGTTGGCAGGCAATTTATCTAGAATCATAGGAATCAAGAGTTCTCCATAACTTTGTTCTTCTTTTCCTAAAGAGCTGAGTCCTCTAATGAAAGTCTCGATCCTATCGTAAAAAAATCTCAATGATTTTATTTCTTCATCGGGGCGTGGAAGCTCCCAAAGAGCTCTCATGAATGCGTTAATTATTTTGTGAGTTTGTCCATACCTTTCTCGAAGAAGTTCCTTCGCATTTTCGTAATTATTAGCCGTAAGCTGTAATCCCGCGATCGTAGAAAACGCTTCGCCGTCCAACTGCGCCCGTAAAAACTGGAATTTCTCGATAGTTGACAGCATCTCGTTGTCGGCTATAGCACTGACGAAGTCGTCGTTGAAAGCGGGCCATTGAAGGAGATTTCCATCAAACCTGGATAGGATGAGTTTGGGGAGCCTGTAATTTAGTTTCATGTTGCTCCGCGGAGGGTCATCACTTGGAGTGGGAGCGTTAGAAATCGAAGGCTCGCTTCGGCGTTCTTCTGACTGTATATTTTCTTTATGTTTTCGAATGCGACGCAGCTTCTCTTTAGCTGAAAACATAAATTCGTCTGCTTCGGCAATGCCGTCTTCCATCTTTTCATCTGAAAGTTTGGACAGAATTCTTTCGTCTAATGTTTTTAGATAGTCCATCTTCTCCTCGATTAGTTCGTACGTCAAGTCCAATGTTTCCACATTTTCTACGGACGGCTCATCAGACATCAAACTTGATGCTCGTTGAAACAGCTTCGTTAGCTGGGCTCGGTTCGCCGACCGGAGTTTTTGATTTCTCTCTGCAGCCATAGTTATCCTGGTCACGGCACCAAAAAATATCGATATGCGGTTCAGAGAAAAAACGAGAGTTGAAAAACTACACGTTTATTATCTACAGAGACTGATCAAAAACTACCCACTCAATGAGCAGGGCGTGAATATATACAAAGTAGGCAATAGGAGGCGGAGCTAAAACTAAATCCATGTCCACTACAGACATTGACATACGAGCTTTAAAATACGTTACTTCAACTGATAGTGCACTTCGTTTGCATGGACATGCTTTTTCTATACGTTCCAACATAATAAGCTGTTCACTGTGTTGAACAAAGCTTTGTTGTCACCATTGCAACCATTGATTAAAACGAAAAGTAGGACTCCTTTGCTTTCCTGATTAAAGAGTTGACATGAGCGCACTGAGTGTTTTGTAGCATTCATGATGTACTGTTAGTCTAGTGCCACTCAAAGACGCTCCATCCTCCTTCTTTCTCTCTTTCCATCCAATATTTCATCATTCATCCATGGCTGTAACTGCTTTTTGCAAATGTTTTTAGTCTTTAGGGGTGCTACCGGGTCTATAACGCCGTGGTGAGAACACTGACATAAATATTAACACAATCAGTCGTCAGTTTGTTAGTATACTGAGTTACACTTAATTGAGCACAGATATTCGTATTCAAGTCATCAAGATGAACAGATTTGAGTTTCCTATAAGAGATTTTTTCTTTTGTTGGATGAGGCTTACCACATTTCAGCTCACTGATGATTATATGGTGATCTGACAGCAGATGTCCTATGTTACAATCACTAATGATGTCATCACAGTCTCTCGTGAGTACCAGATCAAGGGTATGTCCATGGATGTGTGTGGGGCCCGTTACATGTTGCCTTAAGCCAAATGACTCATTGACTGATTAAAAATTTTTAGTATCCGGAGAGTCAGTCATTTCCCAGTGAAGGTTCATGTCTCCCACAATCAGTAGTTTACCAGGTAGTGGTCCCAGATGTTCAAGTAAGTCACTTTAGACCACGGTGAAAGTGAAGAACAAAAGACTCAGACGTGGTGTAACTCGCATAACCGCACGTCTCGCATGAATGCGTTATAACCCGCTAAAACACACACATACTACTCATCGAAGCACAGAACCGTAAACACACCTGAAAGCAAGTTAATTAGAGACTGAGCGTTTATCACCACATATGAAAAAAGAAAGAACAAAAAACAAGCTGTATTATATTTCAAAAGTGATCTTTTTGGCGTTTTTATTATAACAACTTTCTCAATAACAGAAGGTATTTCAATTGTTAAAATTTTGTCGTCCTTTTCCGTATTTTGCTTCATTGGAGGTGCCGATAAAGAGCTTGCAGGCTGGGTTGAAGATGAAATTACTGAAGCGCACGATGCTTTTGAAATTCAAAATATAGTTGTTTCACGAATATTGCATATTTATTTGAAATGTCTTAACAATATTGAAGCAGGGTGCTGCTGCGACTTAAAAGATAATAACGAATGATAAGAAAAATTAAACACACCTGGCGGATTGGAACTGCCATCTTGGCGCTTAATTTCTGTTATGAATCTTGCCAACCAATAATCCAAAATCTCTAGATTTCCCCCCTCAAGGGTTGGAATAGGCCAGTGAGGGTCGGCCATAGTGACAGTTCTAAAATTACGCCATGAGCGCCAGTCCTTAAAAGATATTACATGCTCAGGTCGTATTTTTCTGTGTGTTTGCTGGAATTCTGTCTGCAACCATTTTTTCAAATTCAGCGGAATGTACTGGCTCTTCGAACCGCTTTGATTCTGCACCGATATCCACCTTATATAACGATTGGGTTGGTAATAAATTTAGCTGAGAGAGGGGTGACGTCCTCCTCCGCTCCAAACATGATATATAGTGTGGTAATGAAGATAGCGGGGTAGTTGCGTGAGTGTGATGTCGTGAACTGTTGTTGAAGTTAATGGACCGTGATCTAAGTAAGATAGACCCCTCGTCAGCGAGGGTTATGTGACATCCACTCGTGCTACGCACTCGTGTATGCCACATAACCCTCGCTGACTCGGGGTCTATCTATTACAAATTCATTTAAAAAGTCGGATTTACCCAATTTGTTTTTCTTAGATGGAGGTATTCTGTAAATAGTCACTAGTCTAAAATAATCTGAAACAGCATTTACCAAAACCTCAATGTACTCGAAAGAAGTGGGAGAGAGCACTTTAGGTACCCTTTTAACTTTAAAATTGTTCTTGGCTAGGAATGCCACTCCTCCACCCTGAGTGTTTCTCGTGGTATCTGCACACATTGGTATCCTCTTGGGTAAAAAGTCAGCTGTCAAGGTTTGTTGTAAATCAGTAGTGATCCATGTTTCCACCATTGAAACAAAGTCAAAATTGTTCTCAATTATAATATCCTGAATGATCAATCCCTTGTTTCATACTGATCGACAGTTCATGTAAGCAAGCTTGACCAATGGGGAAATGTTTGTATTTTGTGTCACTATTTCCACTAAATTTGCACTATTTACTCCATTCTGTCTAGGTTGAAGTTTGCATCTCTGGTGATGACTGTTTGAGTCAACTGTTTTGAGTTGGTGAATATCCTTCAGGTGATGGCCAACAATAATAATAAAAAATTAACCCAACTGCAGGAATCATTTGTAAATTAGGAAGAAAACATGCATCTTTTTCATATTGCCCAATGCAAGTCCTGATATATTTCTTTAACTGTTTTGATAAATAAATAAATAAATAAATAAATACCACATGGAACAGTTTTACCTTAGCTATTAGCTGTGGTACCATAAGGTCTGGAGTTTGTTTGTGACCCTGATCTCCATGACAACAGGTCCAGATGATCGTCTGCAAACACATCAAAGATGGCGTCAAGAGCCACAGTAAACACCCACAATGTCTGGTCCTTGGTTACTACTTCCACAAGAAATGAGCCAAAATTCTGAAGGGAAAATAAAACTGAACAGCAAAACTGGCAACTATACAGACCACAAACAGTAACCAAAATTTCACCAACATTAGCAAAAGAGTTTTAAAAATTCTAAAAGCAATCGAAGTGTTCCCTTTAATAACAGGTAAAAGAAACAAATGTTTTTTCACTCTTCACAGACTCTGTTGGTTTTCTGATCATCAGTACAAACTTTAATGTCAGAAAGCTTTCAGTATTTTAAGTTGTTATCAACTAGACAAAACAGTTCATTTAACACTGGTACTATTCCCTGTGAGTAAACCGTTAACTTAACCATACATGACGAACATGTACATATCTGGGGTACCTTATAGGTGTGTTTCCATCTCTGTAGTAATGGTGTTGAGTAATGGGTTGAGTTTGAAAATTAGTATAATCGGGCCATTGTTTTAGAAGTCATGCTGTTTTTTCACATTTCCTCAAATTCAATTCTTAGGCATGTTAACAGTCTTATTATTTAATTAATAAGACACATAAAAGTGTTTGTTTGACATTTCCTGCATCTTTACAACGTTGTTAGTTGATTATGTAGAAACTATGGTAAACTTGTTATCGTGTATTGTGTAATAAAGTGTCAAAAATGGAAATAAACTCATATCAGTCAGATTCAATCATTTACTATGTTCAGAATGTCAGAATGGAGGAAATTGGACATTTGACACAGTTCTATTGATATTTGTCCCATCTCATCAATTTTCTTAGTTGATCATATAAAAATGGCAGTAAACTGTTTATTTCATCTTATATTAAAAAAGTGTTAAAAATGGAAATAAACCCATTTCAGCACAGTGCTGTCTAGTTTACATTTTGGCATATTCAAGGTGTCACTTTGAAGTTCCATGGGCATGAAGACCTTTGCTAGTCACATTTTCTGAATATACATGATATTATTAAAAATTGATGATCATTATGCTGTTAAACATTATGTAATATTGCATCAAAATTTGAAAATAA